AAAAGGTAAGGAAAACATGGTGTGTCGTCTGAGAAAGAGCATTTACGGACTCAAACAGTCCGCACGATGCTGGAATCAACGATTGCACGGTGTCCTTGTGGAAATGGGGTTTCAGCAAAGTGTTGCTGATCCGTGCCTGTACACAATGCTGATTCATGGAAAACGTGTATACCTGATTGTGTATGTGGACGATATTTTGGTTGGTTGCGAAGATGAAGCGAAGATCGAAGCGGTGTATAAAACGCTGAAGCAGTATTTCGAAATCACCAATCTTGGAGAGCTCAAATACTTCTTGGGATTAGAGATTCGGAAGGAATATGGAAAGTACAGTGTTTCAGTGGAAGGGTACATCGATCGTGTTGCGGAGAAGTTTGGGCTCCGTGATGCAAAGCGGGCGAAGACGCCAATGGAAGAGGGTTTCCAGAGCACGGAAGATAAGAGTCCGCAACTGTCGGACGGGATGGACTATCGGAGTATTGTTGGAGCGCTTCTCTACATTTCCGTGTGTGCTAGGCCGGATGTAGCAGCTAGCGTAGCGATATTGGGTCGTAAAGTGAGTGCGCCTACGGAGGCGGATTGGATAGCGGCAAAACGTGTTGTCCGCTATTTGAAGGCAACGAAAGAGTGGAGATTGAAGTACAGCGACGCGGCTGGAAAGTTAATCGGATATTCGGATGCCGATTGGGCTGGTGACGTTGGTACAAGAAAATCAACAACAGGATTCGTCTTCCACTATGCCGGTGGAGCAGTATCGTGGGCTAGTCGAAGGCAAAGTTGCGTCACACTGTCTTCGATGGAGTCCGAATATGTGGCGCTGAGTGATGCTAGTCAGGAACTGATCTGGCTTCGGAGCTTGCTGAAGGACATGGGTGAACAGCTGAGCGATCCTGTCAAAGTGATGGAGGATAACCAAAGCTGTATCCAGTTCGTAACGTCAGAACGCAAGAGTCGTCGGTCCAAGCACATTGAGGTGCGGGGACATTTCGTGAAACAACTGTGTGATGACGGATGCATCGAGTTGCAGTACTGTCCAACTGAAGACATGGTGGCTGATGTACTCACTAAACCGGTGGGTTCAGTCAAACAGATGAAGTTTGCACGGATGCTGGGATTGTCGTCATAGGATGGCAGTGTTCGTTGAGGAGGAGTGTTGGTGTAACAACGGTCATGCCACCTTTCACTACACACCTTGATGCTAAGAGCTATCCTGTAGTGACAGTGATAGCGAAAGAGACGGTAGCAGAGCGAGAGCGCAGCATCAGCCTTCTGCTGTGTGCGCCATTTTGTATCATTCGCAAAAGTAAACTCGAGGTGTGTACATCTCGTGTAAATAAAGTTTATATCATCAAACATTACAAAACTCGGCCTTTCATTCCGCTGGAACTTCAGTCCAAGACAGGTTAGCACTGGTTAGTACCGGTCCTTCAACCAGTCAAAACACGGCAGCAGAGGCCAGCACCTCGGAGCAATACGCCGGAGGACGACGAAGAAGAAGAGGAAGAAGATGATCAGCCGGATCGCATTGTGCCAAATGCGACTACTGTTATGATGTACGAGAGGCGGAGCTTGATGGTTGGGCTGTTTAAGGGTGACACCAATGAGTTTACACCATGCGCTTGGAACACCATCTTACTAATCTCAAACTGCATCATACCATCGAGTGTACACCCAGAAAAGAGCCGTATGGAATTCCTGATCCCGAAGCAACACGGGAAGAGGAAAGAGGAAAGAGCGCGGCAGAAGAAATACCAAAAACGTTGTGAAGAAGACTGTGATGCCATTGAAGAGATCGTGACTACGATTTCAAACGGTCCTCTTCAGAAGCTGATGCATTGCAAATATGCAAAAGAATGCATGGATGAATTCTGCAAAGCGTATCAAAGAAGTGGTACGCTGGTAGCTATGCACATTCGTCGTCAGCTTTTCTCATTAAATGAAAAGCAGTTTGAGAACCTTTCGGAGCTCTTCAACACCCATTCTCGCTTGTGCAGAGAGTTGGATGAAGCCGACCCCGAAGCAACGCACCTGGAAAAGATTCAAACACTCTTGGGAGCAGTGCCAAACACATATAAATATGTTGTGGCGGCAATTTTGATTCTACCACCTGTGAGGTTCTCCGGAAGAAACCACTTGAAGAATTTCACAAAATGCTTTACGATGCCGAGCTCATCCAACAACCTGCTCAATCATCGCGGAGCGATGTGGCTATGGTCGCCGGTAACTCGTCAAATGGATCCGCTGGAAGGAAGAAAAATGTACAATGTTTCGGCTGTCATCAGCTCGGGCACTACAGAGACAAGTTTCCTGTTGAACGAAGGAAGAAGCAGAATAAAAAGAAAGGAATTTAACAAGTAATTCATCAACGAAGAACAGAGCATGCTTTGATGGTTCAAGCGGGGGTTCGAGAACACGCTAAGCCATCAACTGCTGGTAAGCGGTTCCCATGCGTGCTTGACTCAGGAGCATCAAACCATATGTTCCATAAGCAGAACATAATGAAGAAATTGAAGAGCGTGGAACGTGAAATCAAAGTGACTACAGCCATTGAAGGACAGCAGTTGCAAGCAAAGGCAAAAGGTGAGGTGACATTGAAGTCAATCGTCGGTTTGAATAAAGTAAACAAGTCGAATCTGTACAACGTGCTATTTATTCCTGGGCTACAAGAAAATCTGATCTTTGTTAAAAGAGTGGTTTCCCTTGGGAATGAGGTTGTCTTCTCTAATGATGGTGTAATCATTACAGACAAGTCTGGCGAAGTTATCGCTAGGGGAAGTTGTATTGATGGTCTCTACTAAAAATACTACGCTAAAATTCCTCAAGAGAAATGTAAGAAGTTAGATAAACGTAGTGAACAGTTCCAGTTTATCGGATATTCCATCAACGGATACAGGTTGTGGAATGCTTCAACAAGGAAAGTTTAAATATCAAGGGATGTTGTATTCAACGAAGGAAAAATGATTGAATCTAACAGGGATAATCATGTTAATACTGATGATGATTTGTAGGATTCGGATATCATCTACGCGAGCACAACTTCAGCAGCCTTCAGAATTAACCAGGGATACGAGTAATCCAGATGTTCCACGCGATATTCCAGAAGAAAATGAAAGCTTCTTAATAGCTGAAGAAAATGAAAACTTGGATGAGAGTTTTCATCAAGACGAAATACAACGAGAAGAAAGGCGAAGTCACAGAGTTCGTAAACAACCGGGTTGGTTGAGTGATTATGAGACAGCATTTTGTGCTACGAACTATTGTGATAACGTTCCTCAATCAGTGGAATTGCTGAAGCTTCGAGGTGATTGGAAGGACTGGGAAACATCAATTCATGAGGAATTACAGTCATTGGATGAAAATCAAACATGGACAATTGTAGAGAAGCTACCAGAAAGTAAGAAGGCAATTGGATCCAAATGGGTTTTTACAATTAAAAATGATAATCGGTATAAGACCAGATTGGTTGCGAAGGGTTTTTCGCAAAAACCAGGCTTTGATTATCAAGAAACGTTTGCACCTGTAGCAAAAATGAGCAGTTTTCGAGTAATACTTGCTTTTGCCAATGAAAACAAGCTTTTGATTGATCAAATGGATGTGAAAACCGCCTTTTTGTATAGTCATTTACAAGAAGAAGTAATTTATGCATCTACCAGATGATGAACTTGGTCAGTCAATAATGGTTAAGCTAACTAAAAGCTTGTACGGATTGAAACAAGCTGGGCGAGTTTGGCATAAGCTTGGATTTTATGCATTAAAAACAGATTGTTGTGTGTATAAATCCAAACAACATCAGCTGTTTGTTATCATATATGTTGATGATGTTTTGATCATTGGAAACTCTATTTTTGATATTCAATAGGCCTTTTTAATGGGAACTTAACGATCGATTCAGCCTCTGGTGGTGAATAGGAAAACGTCAAAAAGAGTGTTGTGAGCAGAAATTTTTGCCTTGAGACATAGGAAGTGGAACACTTTTTTACTTTTCCTGATAAATTGATTCATCTGATATGCTCCAAAACTTAATCGACAGTTGAAAAATTTAATTCTGTAACGTTTTTGCAAACATCCTGCTGGTGTACAGGAATATTTTTGTTGCGAAAAATGCAAAATTAGAAAAGTGCCTTAGTGGTTATGATCTTCCGGATTTCTTGTGTGTGGATAGTTAAGGTATAAATCAGTTCAGATCTGTGGAAAATCGTACAATAAGACAATTACCGATAGAAATTGGCAAGATGTTGAATGAAAAATGCTTGAATTTGCGTTGTGAAAAATTGTTATTCTGATGTAAACAAACGGTTTGGTTGACGTTTCTTCTCGAACTCACGTGGCGCACTCTACGTTGGTAGTGCATTAAAAAGGCGTATTGATCAAACAGGAATTATCAAAAATGTTCCATATAAAAGATTTGAAAGAAGTGTCAAACTTCTTGAGAATGAATATTAAGCGTGATATTCAAAAACAAATTTTGGAAATATCTCAAGAACACTATGTTTTAAAGATATTGGAACGTTTTGGAATGGATAATTGCAAGCCTATTTCAACTCCAATGGATGCAAATATTAAAGAGGTAGCTTATGTCGTTTTCATTTTTGCGGTATAGCTACACCAGAACCGCACCGCCGTACACCAACATTAGGGTATAGATAACTGGGGCTCGTATGTTTACAAACAAATGACGTTGAGTTGTCAATGACTCGCGCTTGTTGGCGCAACTCCACCGGGTGTGCTATACCGCAAAAATGAAACCGACATTAGACAATTCGCACTCTGGGACAGTGCATTGTTGATTATCGAGAAATCAATATTTCCTTAAAAATGACGGTTCAAAACACCAACATGTTATTTTGCAACGCGGTCTACTTCGATTTCAGGGAACCTTGTGATATCTTCGCGTAGAAATTAGACTCAAACCAACACGTCGACCAACACGCGTGAGTGGTTGGTTCGCCTGTCGTCCCTCGTACTGCTACCGGAAGCGGAACGACTTGCGCTGCTGGTGGTAGGTTTTCAATACATTTTTATTTAACTTCTCAACAATTAACATCTCATGGTATGAGCATTTTTTTCTGTTGTTTTTTTTTTGTTATGTTTATTTTGTTCATCTGCTTTTGAGATTTCACTTGATTTGCATCTGCAGTAGTTAGTGTTCGTTTGTTTTCTTTTTATTGCGTGATTTTTTCGGTTTTCCATTTTTCCTTTCTTTAGCGGTATGCGCGAATGTTTGCAGTTTGCAGCTGTGTGGGTGTGTCTGTGTGTATGTAAAGTGAGTATAATGTGAATATTTTGTTTTTTTGTTCTTGTATAGTTGCTTTAGTTCCAATATGTTTTTTTTTTCAGCAAGTTTCCGATGTCATTTGTTTACTTAATTTGATGATTTCAAACACGTAAGTGAAGCTTGATTAGTTCTCCTCTGTTCTCTACATCCATTGGTTTATGATTTCCTAGAGATTGAGACTCTCTCTCAACTCTCTCTCTCTCTCTTTTTCATTTCTCTCTTTTTCTTGTGCAGCTAATAATATATATGCTTGATTTTCCAGTATTGATTGAGAATCTATGTTTTCGCAAATGGGTACACAGGTGACAGAATATGTAGATATATTTCGCGTTGCGTTTTTTTTTCAGTTAACACTACATTAAACGAAAAATAACATGTAACCGCATCTCCCGTTCGCCTTAGTGCTTTTGTTGTTGTTGTTGTTGTTGTTTGTTTACATTTCTTTTTATTTGGCTAAATGGATTTTCGTTTAGTACCATTTTTGTTTAATTCAGGGTTTTTAGAAAACTCGAAATTGACAATTACTTTTCTTCTTTTTTGCTTACCTTTTAGTTTTGTTAGAGCTATATAATAGTAGGAGGATTCGCTTCAAAGGATTGTTGCTGATGCTATTAACCCTAAACAGAAGAGAATGTATTTTGTCTTCCTTTCATTAGCGTACAATTTTTGTTTTACTTCCACTATATGGAACAGTTAAAATTGTGTTGTTGTTTTTTTTGTTCGAACATTAGATAACCAAGAATTCAAAAGCTATTTGAGACGAGAATCGTTGTAAACATCTATTGTCAAAGTTTGATTAAAACGGAAATTGGTTTGTTTGTGTACCTTCCTTTCATCGGGCGTGTTTGTGTCTGTGTGTGTTTGTGTAGAAGTTGTGTGAGTGCGCGATTCAATCCAAACAAAGGGCGCGTATCTAAATATCTGACTAGCGGTGCAAAATTTCATCATTTATCGCATATAAAATATCGCTACATTCGGTTTCTATTTAATGTGTGTGTGTATGTGTGTGTGATGTCTCCCTCTGGTTTCTTCTATTGTTCCGATTTCTGGATTCTGTTGCATCCTATATACAGTCTTAAATTTAGATACAATTCGCTACAACGCCGGGAATGTGACTTGGTGACGAAAAACAATCACGTGCTGTTTTCTATTTGCTTATCAAAAAATATTTGGGCATTTTGGGTACGCGCAATAAATTATTATCCATTTCGGTTGCTTATCGGTTTTTTTTTGGTTTCGTTAAAATCGTCGCTTCTCGCTCAGGACGCAGCCAGCAAAACAAAACAATAACAACGACGCACTGCTGATGTGTGTACGTGCGACGTTTCGCACAACAGGCCTACTCGATTGTTTGTGGCTGCCTTGGTGACATCCGGCCGCCGACGGTGCCGGCTGCTTTCAGGAAGTTCAGGAAGGAAGCGAAGAATGAATAGAAGAAGTTGTATGGGAAGTTTTGACATTCCACGATAGCCTGGTTGGTCGGTCAGTGTGCAACGCGTTTGCAACGGGTTTAACCAAAGCTGTTCAAGGTAAGTGTTTAACTGCTCGTTTGGATGTTTGTAAATATAATATTGACATTTAATACGATTGACCAAAGGTTAATTTTAGGATTTGAGTACAGTAAATAAGTTCACATTTTTTTGTTTGGCTGATTTTCATCAACCGTCAACGATCTATATAGGATAAGGTTGGTTCACTTAACGATATATTTGCTATGCCGTTTTTTTTTATTTTTCCTTTGTGTTTTGGTAAATATATCTATACTTATATACTTTTTTATGTAAACTTCTTCTGTCTTCTTTTTTTTTGTTGAATATTCGCTGTTTTGGGTTGAATTTCATATTTAGACTTTCATCTCAATATTTACTTTCTTGTAGAATTATGCATAATCAAACAATACTTAATGAATGGAAACAAAGAAAACAGCGTCGTAAAGAGCTCAATCGTTACTAATATATGTAAAATCTGACGTGTAGCTTAGCGATAGTTTCAACAATAAGGAGATAACTCGTACTTTGCTAAGGATAGAGGTAAACTTAAACCTACCCGAAGGAATATTGTCAGTTTCAACAAAGTTTCAGACAAGTCTGTGAGAAGCATACTGTTTGTTTACATTGGTTTTTAGCAATATACTTACTCGATTATACTAGCAACTAGTTGGTAAGCTAAATAGAGTAACATTACGACAGAAGGTGTGTAAAACGAGACCAGATTCGACTTCTTTCTGTTGTTGCCGTTAATTTGATATTGTACATTAGCTTTGTTTAGCTTACTCATCTGGTTGTCATTCACCATTACACGATGTGTATTTACAGATTACGAAGCCATACAGTGACCGTTGTGGTGGGGATACCGGAGTGCGTTCCTCTACTCTTTCTAGTATGAGTAAACAATAACAAACCGAAAAATGATCCCGCGCCCGTTAGCACCAATCGCCGAATTTGACGGTGTCGAAGCAGGCGGGGGATACTTCGATGAACACAAAATCTAACAAACTAGTCAACTATATAATCTACTGCGAGTAAGAGAAGACTAATAACAAGTGATTAAAGTGAACTTCGAGCATTAACAAATAGTGAGTGGCGGAGGTGAGAAGGTAAACAGAAAAAAAAAATCATTTAAACAAATGGAAGCAATCGGTTCAGTTCGAATCAACTAATGTAAACATATACGGAATGGAACGGTAACCTGTCTAGCAATCTCTCCGGTCAATACAGTTGGTGTTGGATGCTTTTTTTTTTAGATAGAATACAAGTGAGATAGGAGGCTAGGGGTTGGTTTAAGGACGTACCGTTCGTCGTGATTTTGTACCCACGCACACACTCACACAGACAGAGATTGATGTCGTGTGACGACGACGGATGGAAACAGAGACTCGCGCACTGACTGAGATTCTTGAACTAGCCTAGAAAACAGAAACAGGGAAAACTGGATACGACTAGATTAATCGCTGCGATCTGCGTGGCATCTTCAGGCACGTTCGGGTGCGAGAGTGTGGCTGTGTGACTGTGGGGAGGGCGTGAGTGTGTGTTTTTGTCTGTGCAGGGGATAGTGATGAATTGACAGATGATGGCTGGAACCACACACGTTCGGCGTTTAGTAGAGGCCTGTAAGGAGAAATGTCAGAAAAAAAGTGATTAGCAGGGGCTAGATCATAGTTTTGTTTTTGGGTAACTCACTGGGACACTCCGGTGGGTTCAGCTGGCCGAAGAAGTTGAGCTCGTACAGCGAGGCAATGGTAATGAAGATCAGGTACCACACCATCAGGACGATACCGAGACGTTTGTCCAGCTTCCAGCCGTTCATGTGGGTCGCGACCAGGAGGAAAAACACGGTGGACAATAACGACAGCGTCGAGTAGGTTAGGCCCTTGCTGATGACATTGACATGCGAGCCCGGTTTGATGATGGCCGTCTGAATGAACCAGGGCAAACCGAGACAGATGAGAATGTCGAATACGTTGGAACCGACGGCATTGGAGACGGCCATGTCGCCGTGACCCTCCTTGATGACCGCAATGGAACTAAGGGCGTCCGGGACGGAAACACCGGCAGCTACGAACGTTAGTCCCATGACGGTATCAGGGATGCCGAGGGTCGAGCCGATAATCGTTATCATCCACACCATGAAGTATGAGTAGAATGAGATCCAGATCATGGACACGAGGAAGGTGAATGGATACCAGTTTTTATACTTCTCCGTTTTGCAGTCGGGCATAGTTTTCCGGGCCGTGTAGTGGATCGGATAAACGATATACCAGGCGACCAACTTGAACGGGCCTCCCTCGGTCGGTTTCTCCAGTGGATTGTGCGAATCCTGTGGCCGAGGTTCCTTCGGTTTGTAGTAGTTGTCGGTGGTTGCTTGCTGAACAGCTCCGGTGGTAACGGTCGTTGTCTGCGCTGCAGGTTGTACAGCTTGCTGCTGAGGATCCTGTCCATACTGGTCTTCGTATCCGTAGTTTTGTTGTCCACTCCACTCAGCATTAGGATCGTAGGCATTCGTCGAATAGTTGTTTGTCTGAGCTGGAGCTGCAACGGCGCCCCCCTCTACCCATGCAGCATTTGGATCCCAGCTCGCGTTGGGATCCGCGTAACCCTGATCCATTGCCACCGGTTGCTGCGTTTGTTGTGATTCCTGTTGGTCCACCGTACCACCCGGTTGCTGTCCTTGCGTGTAGGTCGTGTCCGGAAGATTCTTGTAGGTCACCAGCGCAAACTGCTCCTCTTTCGTCGGAAGCTTGATAGGAAGTTTCCAGGTGTGCGCCCACTTTTCCAGGGGGCTGTTGAAGTGCAGTACGATGCAGTAGACAACATAGAACAGCATCATAACAAGTGCTTCCACCCAAGAGATGACATCGTTGAAGATCACTACCAGCATCACCAGGATTGCGATCGAATAGAAGGTACAATCCCGAACCAGAGGCCACCAATTCAGCTGCAGTACGGTTCCGGAAGACAGTGCACACACCGAAATCACGAACATGATGTTGAAGACAGCTGAACCGATGACTCCGCTGATCCCAATGTCGTCCTTTGCGAAGAATACACCTATCACAACGGTCGCAAGCTCCGGCGCCGAGCTTCCAGCTGCCATGAAGGTAGCACCAGCCACATCTGGTGACAGTTTCAATTCTGCAACGAAAAACAAAACATAAACCATGGAACCCTGCGCACGTCTGATAGCACCAACAACTTACCTTCACAGATCCTATCTAAGCTGGAAACGAAATAGTCGTCGCACACGATGGCCAACCCCAGGAAAGTGAACATGGCCACTAGCAGATGGAGAACTAGGCCACCGTGTTTCCGCACGTTCGGTCCCATCAGCGGTCGTGGGAACTGCTCGATCGCCGGAGGAGTACAGTTCTCTCGCCTCGGTCGCCATGTTGGGTGACCATGGTGCGTGTACGTTGCCTTAGTAGCGCTCTCCGTCGTTCCGTCCTCCTCGGACCCGGACTCTGTGGTGCTACTGCTACTGTCACCGTAGTACAGTGGATTGGGCGATTCGTTAGACGGGGGTTCCGATTCCGCTAGATCAAAATCGGCGCTGGTTGTTCCGCTGCTGCCGGTTGTCGCCGAGTACGCATGAAAGCTCGAGTACACCAGGAATACGATTCCCATGTGCCAGTAGCGCCCACGACGTGTTCGCCTCATCGTTCACCGGTCCGGGTTGCTGCGCTCTTCCGGGTGTCGTCTACGAGCTGAAGCAGAAAACATAAACATTAATTTCACTTGGAAATGACAGCGATTGACGTTTCAAGTGTCATAGATAACTATATCATCATAAACGACCGTAAACCGACAGGAAACGGAGTGTGCAGCAGCCATAATCGTATAAAAGCGTATAAATATCCCATCCATTCGGAGTCAATGTGCGTGAGTCGAGAGCTGGCATGATTTTATTAAAAGGATAAACATCATTAAAATGCGGAGGCGGCCCGGGCCGAGCCGGGAAGAGGAAGCATCGGAGAAACTTTTTATTCTGCTTCGACTATCCTCATTTGTTCCTTTCCTCTCGACGAGACGACAACTCTGCTAGATGTCGCTACTGCGGAACCATCGTCGTCCTCACGGCTCACCCGCTCCTTCAGTCCAGGCAAGTTTTTAATAATACAAATTTTCCTGTAATGTATAAACTCAAGCACTAAGAAGAAGAGACGACGACGGTTTGTCTGCAATTTTTCTCCCATTCGTCACGATGATTGAATGAAGAAACTCACGAGCTATTCTTATTAGCTAGCTTCTTTTTCAGAGCTTGACAAGGTTTTTTTTGCCCGCCAAAGCGTGGATTCTTTTGAATCAGGGAAAGAGAGGGCGGAGAGTGAAATGAAATTTCCGGGAAGCTCATGTCATACATCTATATAGACAGACCGCGGAATGTAATATGTAAGAGTCTGATGATCCTATAGATGAGTATTCGGCTGTTGTAAGTAGGTAGTTCCGGGGAAACTTGTTTCCTTACACTCAATGGAAACTTGAGTTTTGCCGAAAATGAATATCGAGTGTATACACCCAACTAAGGAATGTAAGATTCTATTACAGTTTTGTATTAAAAATGAACCGAATCTGCAAGGAATATCCACATGAACAGATGCTGGTAATGTAGGCGTCGTAAGACGTTTTAAATAATTGTGTAAAATTAATCTTATCTAATTTTATGAAGTTTACATTCCCGCCGATAAACCGTAGCAAACTACATCAACGAAGGCATTGTTCGAAACAATTGACTCTGGAAAAAAGTAACTTGTTCACTACAGAATCGATCAGTGTACAGGTGTGTACACAGAAAAAAAAAGTTGTTGAATATTACACCCAAAGCGGTCCGCTGGTTGTGTAATATTACGTTGTACGATGTACATCGATTTTGCGAACAAAATTACATTCATTGATGTAATATTGTATCTGATTTTTGCTATTAGGAAAAAGGATGTAATGTCGGCCTAAATGCCCCTAATTTGGGCCCATACATAAATTCAGCAATCGACAAAATTTTCAATAGCGACCAAAAATATCCATTAGTACCGTCTGCGTGACGCGTTCATCTAGATAAAATTGATAAATAGCAGATTTTTAGGGATGGACCCAATCTTAGCTCCATAGGCCAACATTAGAGCCATTTCCCCTCATCATTATTTCATACATCAGCTTGAATTTCGTTGATCGATATTAATTTTTTTTTCTAGGTTGGACTATTTGAAAATAACACGAGAAATGTCTTCAGATAGATTGTGGTATCCCGCGCCACAAAGGTGACGTTTTTGCAGCTGTATTTTTTTGCGAGTGAATTTTAATGATTTTATGAAATTTTCAAACGCGTATGATGATTTCAAAGGTGATTTTTTCAAGGGGTTAGTCACTCAGCACATTGTGCCGAAATTAGATTTGCAACAGCTTGGGTACATCCTTCAGCACACTTTCGGCACAATCTCGTAGGCATTGGACTGTTGAAAATAAAATGGGAGCACTGTTGGAAAACTGTCACTGAATTTGATTTCACAACATTACGTGCTGTTTGGCTGTATGTTCAGGAACATCCTATAATCAAGTATACCAGCGGACCTCTGATCACGTCTTCTTTTGGAAGGGAAGTAAAGCATTGGTCCCTGCCCATTAGACTGATGCAAAATTTGACTTTTTCGCTCCACAGTGCTTAAATGGTTTCAAATTGGGTCCTGATTAGCCTCCAAAAGTTACAACTCATTTGGTTAGAAACAGACTTCGCACAAACCATTTGAAGTTTACATGTAAATTTCTATGGGAAATCTCTATTTTTTGTTCATTCTCTTCTAGTCTTTTTCCATATTGAGCTGCGAAACAGTTCGACAGCTATTCTTATAGAAAATTTTCTCAGCTACAACTTTGCTGCAGATCATTTCTATGTAAAACGAGACAGGAAAAAGTTATTAATTATTTAAGAGATTGGTAAACTTATGACATGATCAAGCAGCTGCTCTGTAGGCAACACTGTATTTTGCAGTGTGACATAGTAGCCATGATTTTTGTGTCCTATTCAACGCCCCAGAAACACCAATGTTGCCTGCTGAGCAGTTGATTGAGCATGATCATTAGACATCAGCGCATTGAACCATTGATAACTTTCGATCCTTGCATTTACTCAAAAAGTGGTCTTGAGCAAAGTTGTAGCTGGGAAAATTTCGTACAAGTACAGTTAAAAGCTTTTGAAGCAGACCGATATGGTGACTTATTAGATAGACACGAACAAAAATCTTGGTTTTACCATAGTAATTCCCATACAAACTTCAAATGGTTTGTGCCATCTCAGTTTCTCACCAAATGGGTTCAAATTTTGAGAGGTTAGTCAGGATCAGATTTGGAATCGTTTAAGTATTGTGGAGCAAAAATTTCAAATTTTGCATCAGTCTACTGCCCATGTGTGTTGTTGGGTGCGATATCCCACGCAGGTGTCGAAGCTGCCTCCCTCCACATTCGATTGTCGTCAATGGATGGCAACCGATGTCCGTCGGTGATTGGCCCTAGATTCCGGAACAGATACCGACGTTAAATAAAGGAATTAAGAGTGCTATTGGAAACGACCATAGCATACCATGAAAGATAAAGATTTAAAATATCCACGAAAGGAGTTCTAATCCTCGTTCTAATCATTTTTAGCAATCCAACTTCAACCGACCTTATAACACTTTGTCTGAAAATATTATTAACTGACAAAACCCCAAGGCTGTAAAATGCGTGCCAATCAAGGGGTGGTCACTCTACGCACTTATTTGCGCCAACTTTTTTCTCAGTGTGCCTCAATGTGCTGCAGCTGTGCCGGCAATGCCGAGAAGTCATTGAACTGACTTTTGTTTGCTTGTGAATTATACCTTGCTTGGCAACCCGGTGTATGAATAGCTCTTGTTATTGTTTTGTTTTTCAAAACCTGAGATGCCCCTTGAGTAGGAAAAACATTTCCGTTCCAAGGTACGAACCTTGTAGGTGGATTTTGCCAAAACGATCCTGCAACATGCTATGTTGGATGATGGAATGGGTGGTGTAGCAGCAGCAGTAGTAGCAGCTGCCGCCATGGATGGTATGTCTTCGAGCAGTTCCAGTCAGAGGTGAGGTCGGATGTTATGGTTTTCGTTTAATTATTGACTTTCACTGCTACATTTCAACTTAGAGAGCGGGGGAGGGCTTTCAAAATTTAGTTTTTAAATTGATGAGATTATTTATAATGATGGGTATATTCAATTCATTAAAATTATCAGAATTTTTAATTTCATTTTAGTTCTGAAGAGAATTGAAAGCTATTTGTGAGGAGAAATTCCAGTGCAATCTAAGGAATGCTCAAAGGTAATTCCGAGAACCTCTTGATTCCCGAAAAATGCTCAAAATATTTCCAAGGGAGTGCTGAGGAGAGCTGAAACGGACTTTCGGTCCAAGTTTAATTGAGAACCCCATTCAGATGTTTATAGGGGAATTTACGTATTCTCGTCAATCTAAGCAGCGTCCGCACTTCTATTAGCATTTTCACAGCGTCACGAACATATATGACGTATCTGTTTGTTTCAATTCATCTGCTGCTTGCTTCTCCATCCATTCCAATCGACAGAATTCTTCAAAACTGTTTGAAAACGATTTTACAACGCTCTAAACTTCTCAGAGGGGTGTGACTATTGTCGTCAACCTCTTTTTCTTCGGCAACCTTCCCATTAGAACTGCGTGTTAACCAGCTGTTCTATTATCGGCAACTCGAAATCAGCCCCATTTTGTAGTACGTATGCTTCATTTGAAGAAAAATCTGGCATAACAGGATTGCTCGGTCCTACAAATATAATCAGATTGAAGCTGAAAGACTAAAGAATCGTTTGGATACATTCAGGGAAGTGTGTTGATGGTAAAACATAGTGAAATTAACGTTTAAATTTTGGTTGCCGAAAACAGTCAATGGGTGCCGAAGCCGACATTTACCCTACATAATTCAGTTTCTGCGCCTTCGAAGCAGGCAACATGTTTTACAGTTCTCGAATCACTAGAGAATGATGATGCGTGTTAAAAGAGGGTGAAAATGACAATCACCGAAAAGGTTTGTTTTTCATACACGCTAACTTGAAAGTACTCATTAATGAGTAAAAAAAGACCCATTTTGAAGAAAAGTGGCTTAACTCATTAATGATTAAACAATTTTACCCATTAATGAGTATCTGTTACCCATTAATGATTAACAATTACTCATTAATGGGTAACAGATACTCATTAATGGGTAAAAAATTTACTCATTTAATGAGTTAAGCCACTTTTCTTCAAAATGGGTCTTTTTCAATCATTAATGGGTACTATAGTCACTTTAACACTTTTGGGTCATTCGTGACTTGTCCGGGGGTGAGATTTGAACTCGTGACTTTGGCATGAGAGGCATGGATGTTAACCACTACGCCGGGGTCGCTCCCAGCTTGAAAGAAATTCCAATGCAGTATTACAATGCAATTCCTAGTCGAATTTCAAGTGAAATTCTTTGAGAATTCTGAAAATCATTTCAAGGAATTCCTGAGCAGAATTCAATGGTGATTTAAAAAATAATTCCATTGAAATTTAGGGGAATACATTCTTAGGATGACAATCATGCTTCCCGTTGATCAGCTCAGGGTGAAATTGTTCGCAACTTCTTACTTGCCACAGATGAGATTGTTGGGATGGAACAGGTCTCGGAATAGTCCCGGCTTTACCTGATTCTCAACGCTGG